CAGGGGTCCCTCCGATGAGGGGGCTCCCCGTAACACGCTCCGCTCAGATAATCCTATTTGATTAATAAAGTACGAACTATTCCTAGGAAATATCCCAACTGGTTTGTTCAAAACTATTTACTTTACAGACGTGTTAGAACTTTAGAATCCTCAGATAATCCTATTGGTGAATGGAAAATGGTCGCGCCTAAAGAACAACGTTCTCGAATTCTTCAGAAGAATCACAATCCACCTGTTTGTAGTTATGCTGGTGTCAGTAAGACTGTTGCACGAATTTTACGTTATTATTATTGGCCTCAATTGAGAGCAGACGTTTCTCGTTTTATTCGCCGTTGTGAAGTGTGCTTAGCACATAAAGTTGAACAACGTAAGGCTCCTGGTCTTTTTGCTCCCCGTGCTACTCCTACTCACCCTTGGCAAGTTTTGAGCTGCGATTTGGTTGGTCCTCTTCCTAAACCCTCCAAAGGTAATTGTTTTATTCTTGTAGTTTCTGATTACTTCACTAAATTTTCATGTTTCTTCCTGTAGGTAATACTAAGGTAATACAAGCACCGAGGTTACCCTACCCATCCCCAAATCACACATAAAGACCATAGCGCGCAATGACACGCTCAGTTCACTGGCAAGAAGTCTGGGACGAAACAACAAAGGGGCGGGTCACATACGCCATTATGCCCTTTGTACTAAAAACTACCACACCTTGGAACAAGGAAACTGTTTGAGCTATTACAGGGCAGCCATTACTTCAATAAATACAAATTAAAAAGAGACGATGTACTATGTGCTTGCGGAGAGGTTTCTTCCCCCGAACATGTACTGTGTAACTGCCCTTACCCGCAACGTCGTGACGCGAGATACTTATTACATGTACAACTACAACACTCACAGAGAGATTTAGCCACACTAAATTTCGGAGATAATAAACATCCGGAAATAATAACTGACTTAGAAACGTTATTTAAGGAACTTATAGTTCCAATAGAGGATGAAGGTGATTAGGTAAGACATAAGATTGCCCGTATC